ACATCATATTTTTTCCACTCATCAGTTGATGGACATTTGGGCTCTTTCTATACTTTGGCTATTGTTGATAGCACTGCTATAATCATTGAATCATCATTTAGTTTCTTTTTGGATAAATTTCTAGTAGTGCAATTGCTGTGTCATAGGACAGGTTTTTTTTAATTTTGGGGGGGAACCTCCATACCATTTTCCAGTGTGGCTGCACCAGTTTGCATTCCCATCAATAGTGCAAAGGATTACCCTTTCTCTGCATCCTTACCAATGTCTGTTGCTTCTTGAGTTGTTAATTTTAACTATTCTGACAGGTAAGAAGTTGCTGCGGCTGAGGTCAAAGAGGTTGTTGCCTGTTTTCTCCTGCAGGATTTTGATGGCTTCTTATCTAACATTCAAGTCTTTCATCATTTTGAGTTTATTTTTGTGTATGGTATAAGAAAATGTTCCAGGTTCATTCTTCTGCATGTCATTGTCCAGTTTTCCCAAAACCATTTGCTGAAGAGACTGTCTTTTTTCCATTGAATATTCTTTTCTGTTTTGTCAAAGGTTAGTTAGTCATGTTTGTGGATCCATTTCCCGGTTTCCTACTCTGTTCCATTGATCTATGTGTCTGTTTTTGTGCCAGTACCATACAGTCTTGTAAGGGGTACCTGGGTGGCTGAGTCTGTTAACCATAGAGTCTTGTAATACACCGTGAGGTCTGGAATTGTGGTGCCTCCACCTTTGATTTTCTTTTTCAGAATTGCTTTTGTATTCGTAGCCTTTTCTGGATCCATATAAATTTTAGGATCATTTATTCTAGCTTTGAGAAGAATGCTGTTGTTATTTTGATAGGGAAACATTGAATACGTAGGTTGCTTTGGGTAGTATCAACATTTTAACAATATTTGTTCTTCCAACCCATGAGCATTTATCATTTATTTATTATTTCCCTTGTTTGGCTTTGGGTTTTATTTGCTGCTTCTTTTCTAGCTTCTTTAGGTGTAAGGTTATATTGTGTATTTTGGACCTTTTTTGGTTCTTGAGATAGGCCTGAGTTGCAGTGTATCTTACTCTTAGGACTGTCTTTTGCTTCCCAAAGGATTTTTACTGTCATATTTTCATTTTCATTTGTTTCCATGTATTTTAAAATTTCTTCTTTAATTTCTATTCATTCTTTGTAGTATGTTATTTTTAAAAAAGAACTGGGCTGGAAGTAGGGAAAAGATTCTAATGTGGACTTATGGATTGAATCAAGGACTAAGGATTTGTGCTGTCAGAGTCTTCTGTCAGTGACAGAGTGATCATGAACACTGGGCTGCAAAGGTAATTGAATCGAGAACTCTAAGGCAAAAAAGAGCAGACCTCAAACCAAAAAGGATTTGCCAATGGCTCTTGGAAATGTTGGCATAGACAATCAACTCAAAAGAATGTGTGAGGCACAAAACTTGTGTTTCTTATTGTCCCCCCAAACAGTCATAAATTTGCTTTAGATCTCAACACTGCCACCAAATATGTTAAAAAACAAAATTCAAAAGACTTAAGAATTCAGAGGCACCTGAGAGGCTCAGTCGGTTAAGCGTCCGACTTCAGCTCTGGTCATGGTCTCACGGTTTGTGGGTTCGAGCCCCGCGTCAGGCTCTGTGCTGACTGCCAGCCCAGAGCCTGGAGCCTGTATCAGATTCTATATCCCCCTCTCTCTCTGACCCTCTCCTGCTCACGTTGTCTCTCTCTCTCTCTTTCAGAAATAAATAAAAAACAAACAAACAAACAAAAAAAAAAAAGAAATAAATAAAAAACATTAAAAAAAACCCAAAAGACTTAAGAATTCAAAAGTAAATTCTAAAGACTTAATTGGCTTTATTGAATGAGTTTTGAATTGGGCAGCATCTCAGATAGCCAATAGAAAACAGCTCCATTATGCTGTAGAAATGAAAAGGTTTTTAAGTGAAGAGAGAAAGTAGAAATAAATTACTAGCAAATAATTCATTGTTTTCGACAAGGTTGCCCTCCTAAGGAGAGATTGGGGAATCTATTAGTGCAGTTTTTAGTGCTGACCAGGAAATTCTCATATTGACTGGTAAAAGATTACATAACTTCGAGTTGAAACTGCTCTCAGGTATTAAATCTTGGTTTACTGACATGGGTCTTTATCTTAAACGGCTCCAATATGCCCCTGTGGCTTCATTTTTAACACATCTCTCCATAGAAATATAAATCCTTTGTGTCTCACCCTGACTTCATTTTGAATCCTAGTTTCACTTCTCCCTATCCAATTGTGTGCTCTGCCTTTGCTTCATGAGACACAGCTCTGCCCTTGGATGAGCGCCCTCACCTTGAATCCTGGCTTGGAAGTTTGCTAATGATGGGACACTCATTGACTAGCTTTCAACCTAATTATTTATTTGATCCTTAATTTGGAGGTCGAAGTGATTATCATATCCTTGTAGAGCTGTTAAGAGGATGAGATGAGAAATGTATGTACAGATGGACATCTCTTTATTGGCATAGATTTCACACATTCCTTACAAGTTCTATCCCAACAGCAGAGGACATACTGCTAGAGGATGAAATAGAAGTTTCTAGAGATATCATAAAAAATTACTCTGCATCTGGTACACCTGCATTGCTGTCACATCAGAAAATAATATATAACAGAACTTCACATACAACATCAAGGTGAGGTTTGGAAACTTAACCATATGGCATGCCTTTTGTGTGGTTGAAATTTGCTCAGCACACAGAATTTTGCTGTCCACATCTGTTTGCCCTCTCAAACTTGTCATTTGTTCCCACTCTCTTTATTCCATTCCTCAGAACCTGTTCTAGCCAGAGGTTTCCTCACTCTCATGTGCATTTCTCCCCTCTCTCCCATCCTCTGAGGATGCACAGGCATGAGGCTACACTTGATAGAGTTGATGTCTCTCCTTTTTGGCTCCTCCTTGAGGTCCAGGTTTTATATACTTCTTTCACACTCAGCCTTGTTCATTCTCCTTTGTGTGCTATCTGCTTGCTCCTTAAAAGGGTGGTGGAGTGATTTGCTCTCCACACAGCAAGACGTTGCCCCAGCATACGCCAGATGCTCTGGATTTACACTCTTCTCCATGTGAAGAATATTCCTGCTATGTAGTCAAAAATATTGGCACCATGCTTCTCAGTTGTTTAATAGTTGTCCCTTTCTCAACAAGCCAGATTTCCACAGTTCTCTCTTCTAAGGAAAATGCCTGTACTCCCCATTCTTATGTATACCAGTTCAGGTCTTGTATACATGCTCTGAATAATTCTTCCCGAATTTGTTTCTGCCATTCTTTATCTTGGGCTGCAGGCTATGGCTTCCAGGAAGCCCCTGAAAGATGTGTTTCATCCCTCACTTTTAGCCAAAGGGCATCTCTGCAGCCTGCATGCTGCCCAGACATCAGTGGTGACTTGAGGTGACTTTCTTTCTGGTCCAAAAAGTCTGCATAAGTCGGGGAGGGGGGTAAATGGAGAGAAGGAGACTGTCTGCTGAGCATGGAGCCTGACATGGACCTCAGTCCCATGACCCTGGGATCATTACCTGAGCCAAAACCAAGAGTCAGACACTCAACCACAGAGCCACCCAGGAACCCCAGCAATGATTAAAAGCTTATCTCCTAATGAAGGCATACAGTATCTTTTCTGAGAAGGAACGGAACCACTCATCCTTATTTAGCTGTTTCATATGAGAACCAAGGTCTTTTACATGGTGATACTGGAGGTTATCAGAAGTGGTTTTCCTGGAGGATCTTACACCACAAGTGGGAAGGGGTGTGGGGGTAAATGCTGGTGCTGTATTATTAGATTTCCACTATGAAGAATTATTACTTTCATAACATTACAAATAAAGAAATTGAAGTAAGATAAATAAAGGATAATTCAGCTAGGAAAATTTGGATAGAATAATCAGGGTTTGAAATTAGTTTAGAAAAATGAAGAGCATCTTAAAGAAGGACTTTCCAAGATAATGGAATAGCCTAAAGAAGGCAAACTTTACATCCATGTCAGTAGTCCACACAAAGCCTAGACAGAATGAGAAATTCTCCTAGATACACTGCTTTGGTGACCAATGAGGTTCTCTGCCAGAGTCCAGCTCCAGCCAGTCCAGGGTTCCTTGAAGGATAGGCGGCATCAGTGACAGAGTGATGAGAGATCCCCAAGATTCTTTCTAATCAGCAAGCAGGCATTTCTTCTCAGTCTGGGTTCTCAACTCTATTTATATGTGAAGGTACAGGGAACAAGAAAAGTGTCATTTGCCTCAGTAGATGATGTTTACAATGTTTCCAGAATAGCCTTGAGAAAAACATTTTACCAAGAAATAAACAAAATTGTATATATAAAGTTTAATCTTTTATAAGTAAGGGTCATTAGCCTATTTATAGCTCAAGGGAAGTATTGAGGAAAACAAGATCTGCCAGAGAAACAATGTCTGCCCTCACAACTTCAAAAGAAGAAGGTATCTTTAGCATTAGCCACAGGGCCCATAGTTCCCACAACATCATCCATGCCCAGGAATAGCGTGTTACTCTATATGGGAATATTATTTTATTAATTGTTAAACTAAGGTAGGGATTTGACCTTTTGGATTATCAATTACTTAATTCTAATCATGATTTCCAAGCTACTGAACATAAATGTCTCTCCATATCACAACAAGTCCCTAACCAGATGCAATCATCATACCAGGGCCAGAACAAGAGGACAAGCCATTCCTGATCTCAGTCAACAAAGCACTCTGGGGTACGGTGCTCAAGCAAAAAACGACAAGAAAAGGGGCAGCTATTGGTTGCCACCTGATGACAGGAGACCTTGCAAGCCTGCTTTAACCTCACAAGGAGTTTTCTCAACTAGTGAGTTCAGAATGGCTCTCAACATTTCTCTCTCCATATAACAGCACACCCCAAGCCACCTCTTGTTGTATTAACTCTTTTTCTTTCCCTCCTCTCTCCTCCTTCTAGTGCCCTCTACTGCTGAGCCATGGGTCAGACGTCTTCCACACTCTATCATAGAAAGGCTGTTAATTTGGCCTCAAGTTTTGAAAAGTTTTTTAAGGAATTCAAGACAGAAAGTAAAATCCTCTCTCAGGAAACCATCACATTGATTCAATCATACTTGGTGAAAGGGGACCTTCAGAGAGCATTTTCAGAAATCAATGATGCATTGATAGAAATGGAGAATGCTCAAGTGAACATTGCCGTGACCGGGGAGTCTGGCACAGGGAAGTCTAGTTTCATCAATGCCCTGCGGGGGGTGCAGCATGAGGACAAATTGGCTGCCCCAATTGGGGAAGTGGAGACAACCATGCAGAGGACCCCATACAAACACCCGAAGTTCCCCAATATGACATTATGGGACCTGCCTGGCATAGGGACCATTAATTTTCAGCCACAAGATTATCTGAAGAAGATGAAATTTGATGAGTATGACTTCTTTATTATCATCTGTGCTGCACGTTTCAAAGAAAATAATGTACAGTTGGCTACAGCAATTAGAAATATGAAGAAGAATTTCTGTTTTGTTCGAACTAAAGCGGACAGTGATTTACATAATCTAGAAAAGAGTAAACCCGCCACATTCAATAAGGATAAAGTCCTGCAAATGATCCACAATGACTGTGTGAAACAACTGCAGAAAGCCAATATGAGTGACACACAGATCTTCTTAGTCTCTAGTCATAAGCCGTCTGGCTATGATTTTCAAGGCCTGGAGAACACCCTTCTGAGGGAGCTCCCAGCCCACAAGCGCCACAGCTTCATGCAATATCTGCCAAACATTACTGAGGCCGACATTGACTGGAAGAGAGATTCTCTGAGACAGAAGATATGGTTGGAGGCCCTGAGGGCTGAAATATCAGCCACTATCCCTTTGGTGGGTTACACCAGTGATAACAATGTGAAGAGCCTGGAAGAGACTTTGACCCTTTATAGGTCTTACTTTGGACTGAATGACACATCCTTGGAAACCATGACCAAGGACTTGGATGTGTCAGTAGAGGAACTCAAGGCAAACCTTATATCCCTCCATTTAGTATCAACTGAGAAGGATGAGGAGTTGTTAGGGTAAAGATGTGGAAGTATATGGAAAACTTCCGCTCTATTAGTGCAGGATTCATTGACACTAGTGTGTAATGTAGGAAGATTTTCTATTTGCAAATTTTTTTCCTTGAGGCCATGGTAATTGATACTAAAGTTTTCTTTAAAAAGAAGAGATTTTGGGGGTGCCTGGGTGGCTCAGTCATTTAAGTATCTGACTTCGGCTCAGGTCATGGTCTCACAGCTCATGAGTTAGAGCCCTGTGTAGGGCTCCGTCCTGACAGCTTAGAGCTTGGGCCTGCTTTGGATTCTCTGTCTCCCCCCCTCTCTCTCTGCCCCTCCCCACTCATGTTCTGTCCCTCTCTTTCAAAAATAAATGAAAAGTTAAAAAAAAAGATTAAAAAATCAGAAGAGATTTTTAAGGAATCTGTGGGCTCTAAGTAAGCTTATCTACTTTAGAATGTCATGGATAAAAATGGGAATTCAGCCAGCTCCTGAATTATTCTGTTTTGGGATGGCACTCGTGCCTGGAAAGTTGGTTTAGGGCCTCCTTGAAGCAATCCTAAACCACTACCCTCCTGGAGTATCACACACATTTCCATATTTCACTCTTGAACAATTCATAAACTTAATGACTATTATTTGACAGTAAGAGCAATCAGCTCTGAAGAATTTTTCTTTCATATGACTCATTTGGGAAAATGAGGGACAGGAATTCTCTTTAGTGGAAAGAATAACTCTGTGTGAAGGTCTTTCTACTAACATATAGTAAAAAATGGGTGTGCCACCATAGGTCCTCAAAAATGATTCTATAAATGAATGCGTAATAGTCTGGTTTTGGTGTTCCTGACATTCTGCTATGGATGCATAAATTCTGGTCATTAATAGATCATCAATTAATAATGAGTCATACCCTCCTTGTCCTTTCTAGAGTTATCATTTTATGTAAAAGCATAAAAGATAGTGAGCTGAGCATGTGTCACAGGAAATGAAAGAGAAATACTAGCTAAGGAAAAATTTTATCTGGAGTACTTTGTGAGAGAGGCAAATGCATAAGATGGAAACATGGTTGAAAAGTTCACATATTGCAGTTCTAAACACTCCTTGGTTGGAGCAATGTATTTTGTGTCTAAACTTGAGAGGTTAGAGAATAAGAGACAAGAGGATTATCATAAATCTAAGTGTAAATTTAAGAGAAATGTAAAAGGTACTTAAGTATATCCAATCCTTCATCTAAAGGGAAATGCAAATTGGAAATGACATGTACAACAAGATATCATTTATCCCCTATTAGACTGGGTGAAATTTCAAAGTTTGATATTCTGTGGGTAAAACTATAAAAATAGTTGCTGTCATACAGTGTTGCTATATACGTAAGATGATATAGCCTATAATGTGTCAAATTAAGCCATCTCTAGGAAAATTACACACATATTTACACTTCACATCAATGGTCTCTCTTTGAAGACTCTGGGCATAAAAATTGAGAGTAGATGGTGGTTGTCAGGGATTGAAAAGTGGCAGAAATGTGTAATGCTGGTGAAATAGGAAGCTTTCAGTTACAAGATGAATGTGTATGATGGTAACTATACCTATATATAGGGTGGTAGCACAGTCAATAATACTGTGTAATAATTCTATATAATTGTAATACTTAAAATTTGCTAAAAGTGTAGTTCCTTAGCATTCTCAATACACATACACACGCACACACACACACGGTAAATACGTGAGGTGATGAATGCATTAATTGACTTATTGTGGTAATCATGTCACAAAATGTACAAATATATCAAATCATCACGTTGTACACTTTTAAGATGTATGATTTTTTTGGTCAATTTTACCCAAATGAAGCTGGAGTGGAAAGGAATAAAAAAGCTGGAAAAGCCATAAAAAGATAAGTGCATAGTTATTAATTGCAGCATTATTTGAATTGGTAAAACACAAAATTCAAATGATCTTCAATAGGATGTTACAACCACAAAATAGGTGACTTGTCAACTATATAAAAGAATGAGTAATATCCTATGTATTGCTATGCTGTCATCTCCAGGATATATTGTTCAATGCAAAGAGAGAGAAGAACATGTATAGTGTTACTGATCTAATACAGTTACTGATCTAAGACAGACAATGTATTTACACAAAGTCTTCAATTGGACATGAGAACATTTCAGCAATAAAATTCAATTACGTATAGGAGAAGTGATGGTACTGGGTGAAGAGTCAGTGGTAAGGTCTAGATTTTACTTAATGCAACTTATTTTAGTTTGGAACATGCAAATGTTTTACAAAGATATATAAGTGTTTAATTAAACAAAAACGAGCCAGCATTTATAAAAATGAAAAGCAAATAAAAACAAATTAATCTAAGCTTGTACAAGAATCTCAGTATAAGAAAACAGAAGTTATTTCAAGATTTTATCTACCATCTATATAGCTAGATAGCTCTATCTTAATCATCATCATCATCTATTATCTTTATCTATCATTTATTTACCTTTAATTTTTAAAGTTCCATATACAGTGTTGTATAAGTTTCAGGTGTCCAATATAGTGATTCAACACTTCTAACCATTACTCTGTGCTCTTCATGATAAGTATATTATTTTCCCCCTTTACTACATCACTGATATCCCCAACACCTTTCTCCTGGCAATCACCGGTTATTCTTTATATGTATGAATCTCTTTTCTGCTTGTTTGTCTCTTTTTTCTTTATTTCTTTGTTTTCTTTCTTAAATTTCACATATGAGTGAAATCATACAGTATTTGTTTTTCTCTGAATGACTTAATTCACTTGACTTAATACCTTCTAGGTCCATCCACGTTGTTGAAAATGGCAAGATTTTATTCATTTTTATGGCTGAATAATATTCCATTATATGTGTGTATCACATCTCTAGATGGACACCTGGATTGCATCCTCATTTTTTCCTAATGTAAATAATGATGCAATAATAATACGGGTGTATATATCTTTTCAAATTACTGTTTTCATTCCTTTGGGTAAATACTCCATAGCAGAGTTATGGGATTATATAGTAATTATATGTATAATTTTTTTGAGAAACCACCATACTGTTTTTCAGTGACTACACTATTTTGCATTCCCACCAGCAGTGTGCAAGGACTCCTTTTCTCCATATACTTACCAACACTTGTTATTTCTTCGTTTTTTAATTATTTAATTTAATTTAACTTAATTTAATTTAGCCTCCTGAAATGTGTAAGGTAATATCTTGTTGTGGTTTTGATTTGCATTTCCTGATGATTAGTGATGTTGAGCATTTTTTATGTGTCTTTACTGCTGGCCATATGTATATCTTCATTTGAGAAATACCTGTTCATGTTTTCTACTCATTTTTTTTTTTTTTTACAAATAGTTTATTGTCAAATTAGTTTTTACATAACACTCAGTGCTCATCCCCAAAGTGCCCTCCTTCATGCCCATCCCCCCCTTCCCCCCACATCCATCAGTCCTCAGTTTTTGTCAGCATTCAAGAGTCTCACAATAGCTAAAACATGGAAAGAGCCTAAGTGTCCATCAACAGACGAATGGATCAAGAAGATGTGGTTTATCTATACCATGGAATACTACATGGCAATGAGAAAGAATGAAATCTGGCCATGTGTAGCAACATGGATGGACCTTGAGGGTGTTATGCTGAGCGAAATAAGTCAGGCAGAGAAGGACAAATACCATATGTTTGCACGTATAGGAGGATTAGGAGGAACTTGACGGAGGACCAAGGGGGAGAAGAAGGGCAAACCATGAGATACTCATTTTTAATTAAATTATTTAAGGGGCCGCCTGGGTGGCTCAGTTGCTTAAGCATCAGACTTCGGCTCAGGTCATCTCACAGTCCGTGGGTCAAGCCTCGTGTCAGGCTCTGTGCTGAAAGCTCAGCCTGGAGCCTGCTTCAAATTCTGTGTCTCCTTCTCTCTCTGCCCCTCCCCTACTCACTCTCTGTCTCTATCTCTCAAAATAAAATAAAGACATAAAAATTTTTTAAAATAATTTTTGGGAGTTTTTGAGTGTTGAGTTGTATTAGTTCTTATATGTTTGGATATTGACCCCTCATTGGATACATCATTAGCAAATGTCTTGTATTCAGTAGATTGTCTTTTTGTTTTCATAATGGTTTCCTTCACTTTATAAATCTTTTTATTTTGATGTGGTTCGAATAGTTTACTTTTGCTTTTATTTCCACTCAGGAGACATATCTCAAAAGATGTTGCTATGGTCCATGTCAGAGACATTACTGCCTGTGCCCTCCTCTAAGGTTTTTAGAGTTTCTGGTATCACATTAAGGTCTTTAATCCATTTTTTGGGTTTATTTATTTACTTTGAGAGAGAAAGCACTCATGCACATGCAAGCTCTTGTGAATAGGGGAGGAGTAGAGAAAGAGAGAGGAGAGAATCCCAACTGACACAAAGCTCAATCTCATGAACCATGAGATCATGACCTGAACAGAAATTAAGAGACAGCTTACCCTGACAAAAAAAGAGACACTGATCCAGAAACATGAAAGAAGAGTTCGAGAGCTCAGCAATACGGTCAAATGCAACAATAGCCGTATCACAGGAATCCCAGAAGAGGAAGAGAGAGGGAAAGGTGCTGAAGGAATCCTGCAACAAATTATAGCAGAGAACTTCCCCGACCTGGGGAAGGAAGTAAATGTGGAAATACAAGAGGCTCAGAGGACACCCCTCAGATGTAAATTGAATCAATCTTCTGCACAGCATATCATAGTGAAACTGGCAAAATATAAGGACAAGGAGAGAATTTTGAAAGCAGCTAGGGAGAAAAGGGCCCTAACATACAAAGGGAAACCTATCGGAGTGGTGACAGACCTATCTACTGAAACTTGGCAGGCCAGAAAGGAATGGCAGGAGATCTTCAATGTGATGAACAGTAAAAATATGCAGCCAAAAATCCTCTATCCAGCAAGCCTGTCATTCAAAACTGAAGGAGATAAAATTCTTTCCAAATAAACAGAAATTGAAAGAAGTTGTCACCACTAAGGCAGCCTTACAAGAAATCCTGAGAGGGATGCTCTGAAGGAAAGGTTGCTAGGAACAAAGATACCAGAGACACCACCACCAACATGAACCCTACAAAAGATACAAAGACTCTAAACCCACATATTTCAATAATAACACTGAATGTAA